ATTAACATATTTTGTAATCTTAATCAATACTATAATAATTACATTATTATTTAAATAAAAAATAATTAATTATATTTAAAATAATTTGTTTTCCTAATTTTTAATAGGATTACGATTTGCCCAACGCTGGGTATATTTAAATAAATTATTATTTATACAATACAATATAAATAGATAACGGCAATTCATGAAAAAATTATTAATTTTATATTCTTGTGACTCGTGATATGAGAACAAGGCTGTATTAAGTAAATATTTTTTCAGCGTCTCTAAGAATTAGTCATGAATGAGCAACGAGTCAATATGTAATAAATTATGAACAGGGACGTATTTAGGGGAGGAGGCGAGTGGGTACCATCGCCCCGGGTGGCACATTTTTTGTAACCATCATCTATTTTCATCCGTCAATCGAAAAATTTTAATATTTAAGATTTTGCATAGTGACCACATAGTGATTTTTATTTTCATGATAATAATATCAAAAGTTGATGGCGTAAAATTCGTAGATAATAAATTTTACCTTTCTTGGAAATCGTATACGTATACGTGTTGAGGTGGCAATAAAACTGTACCTGGGGCGTTAAAACTCTAAATACGTCTCTGATTATGAATTATTTAAAAAAAAAGATAAACTCGAACAATACTTATTTGAAAGTAGGCAATTTCATGTTATTACTACTGTTATTATAACCACTTATGTTCAATAAATCTTATTTGTATTAGATATTATTATATGATCACAACTGTCGTATTATGAAATTAACTTGAAAATCACTGAATAATAAATATTTTTTACCGCAGTCTTTAACGTGAATATTGTATACAAAAAAAAGATCATTTCGTATGAAAATTTTTTTTATACAATTAGAGAACCCTGATATTTCCATTTAATGGAATTCTTAAGGTTCTACGTTTATTATTTAATTGCGATCTTTCTAACTAATATATATAACTATATATAATAATTTTTAATATTATATTTATTATTATTATTTGTTAGTACCTATTATATTTCTTATAAGTTATTATATTGTGTCGTATACGCCGATCAAATACGTACAGATACAGATACACAACTTGAATTAAGTTAATACGCAATGAAATGTATATGTTTCCTATAGTGATCGAGTCACACGATCACTACAGAGACTCCCTTTATTGGTTAGTCTTTTGTCTCATAAACATTTAGCTTGACCTAATTATACATATTATTGCTTACACTCTAATTTAAATATATTATAACAAATATGTTGTTTTACAATTATCTTTGTACACAAAAATGTTATGATAACTTATTTTCTATTGTGACATGAATATATGATTATTTTAATTTGTTTAACATTTCCATTGACCTGAATAATGAAATTGAATTGCCTAATACTACAATTGTAAGTTAAATAATAAATGTATTTATTTAAACATAATAAGAGTTTTTTTTTTTTTACTGCCTTATACGATTTTTACGAAATTGCTCCCATCATTATAATTATAAGATACAATTGCAAAAACAATTTTTAAATAATTTATGCTTATATAATATTGGCAACGCAATTTCAAAAAATTTCAAATTTTCAATTATGATGTTAAAACATCTACTAATGAATTAGTAACAAACTGAACTAACAAAATATAAAAATTATTTCCAAAATAACATTCTTCATAATGCGATTCTTAAATGCTATTTAAAAATAAAAAAATTAATATCAATAATAGTAACTATTTTAAATTACATCTTATTTAATATAGAATATTGAGTCTTAATGGGCCGTATCTAGAATGATTTTTTTTTATTAATTAATTATAGCATAATATATTATTAATGTATATTATGTACGTAATATAAAATTACGTTCGTCCAACCTAATAAAACTTTTTAGACGAAAAATTTTAAACGACTATAATTTTGAAAGAATGAGCACAATTAATTGCAAATACGGATAATCGAGACACATTTTAAAAAACAAATGAATATTTTACTAAAATGTACGAGTATTAATCTCAAATCCAACGGTGAAATTTAAAAAATATATCTTTTAATAAAATCCAAACAATTTAACAAAAATACTTATGTTCAGCATAAAATTTTTTTCTTTTATTTTTGCTTGTATCGAAACAATTATGTTCTAACTTGCAACTATCTAACTGTAAAACCACATTTTAACTGAATGTAGGAAGTATGAATCACAACGTCTTAAGTCTCAATAATCAAAAAATCTTAAATCTCAAGTTACTTTAGTTGACAATCTAGAATTAAATTTATTATTATTAAGTATGTATATAAAACTACATACCACCTACATATTCATTTAAAATATTGAGTTTTTTTTAACATATGCATAGAAATAACCAACGGTATCGCAGTGTATGCAACTGTATATATTGAATGCTTATAGAAATGACAATTTATATTCTAATTTATTAGAGACTACTATTATTCTTAATAATTTCACTTTTGTAAATTTTTTGCGTACCCTGAACACTAGGTCTAGCTACGCCTATGAATACCACTATCATTGGTTACAATATAAACTTATAGTTATTCTATAATCAACGTTTCACGAAAATTCTTCCCCTGTAATTTAGTTAGATATCTCGAATAATACATATCTCGAAGTGAATTTTTATCCCCCTTCAACTTCGAGTTATCGCGACTCGATTATATTATCATCGATTTGTTTTATTTTTCGTCGTTATCAGTTCGTGTTTGTGACACATATTAGCGCTGGTGGTTGATTATTATTACTATTACTTTACGTCTTTGCGGATTGTCGATGTGGATAAATCGAATGAAAACCGTTTAGATTACAACACGATCGCGGTCTATCATGTGCTGCCCTCTGTCAGCCACTGTTATGCAAGCGCGGACCATTGGTCTCCAGCCCACCACTGTGGCTCGCCTTTGCAAGTTCCTACTCCACCACTACATCGATTTTGCCACCACACGGACCATCTCATCGTCGCCGCCAGTACGTTCCGGCGATATCGCTCCACGTCGCGCGCAATCTCTAGCTAGGGCGATCTCAACACCACCACCATTGCACCTTTCCGACCGTCCACGCGCTGATTATCGCAGCTGCGTAGCCACCTCTCCGCCACCACAACACTCCCACCGAACAGCGCCGTCGTCGCTACTTACCGCCTTTCCACCGCAGTACTACCAGAGCGCCATACATTTATTTATTTTTTATGTACAGAAGTATATTTAGGATCATTTTTCAAGGGGAGGGGGGAAAAATCCGAAACATTGATTTTAAAATAGAAACGCCAAACGTACACCATTCTAAAAACATAAAATATTTTATTAATACGAAACTCAAACAACTGAATCGCTTATAAACTATAAATTATTAGAGCACAATATTGATTATTGATTATAACTATAGATAATAGATTTTTCATTATTATATATGATTAGAACACAGAAAGTGGTATTAATATTAGAAACGGTTTCTATTGTATTTACAAAATTGGGAATCGTACTTGGTGGGGACGCATGATGGGCGAGTAGTCATAATAATGAAATTTGACTTATAATCCCAGCTTCCGCAAAACGGTAGGACGCAAAAGTCTGGGCGGCAAATGCCTCCTCAAATACGCCACTGCTCCAGCGACGCCGAGATAATCGGTTGCCATTGTTTTTTCGGTGCCATCACCGTTCATTAATATAAGACAAAAATTAAACAATAAAATAATTTAAATAAAATTAAAATTAGTAAAATTTGAAAATTTAATATTTTGATAAAATAATAATCGTTACCTATCCATTTGTTTACGATAATTATCATTAAGATATTTGGGCCCTACAAACAAGCTACCCCATTATACAATTGGTATTATATATATATATATATATTTTATTGTAAAATTGAATATAATATGTTAATAATAATAATATTAAAATTACTTGCCTTGATTTTCGTAAACGTTCTTCCGTTCTCCACAACTCTTGTTATTATTATAAATTCTTGTATATATTGCTCGTTTAATAAATGCAAACAATACATTTAATCTTGATCGACACTGAAACGTGTACTTTTCATATAAAAATAATATTTTCTATAATAAATACCGTCTGTGTGTTTATTATTAATACATTAATATATTATTTAAATAATACAATAATTTTATTTATTTGTTACACCTCAAATAATGAAAGATTTACATAGAAAACTACGAATAACATAACATTTTAATACCATATATGTCGTTTATTTTCATAAATTACTTTCGAGGTAATTTTCAGTATTATATGTAAAAATACTGATTGGAAACTAGCACGAATCAATATCACCAAAATATAATTCGTAATCTTAAGTGGCTTCATAAGTCTTAGCAACTCTCATTTATTTTTTACTATGTTTGCAAACATATTTACTCAGATTGGCAATTTTGCGGCGTTTTTCATAAGTGCATATTTTGTTTTTATTTTTATGATAATTTCTTTTAACTGTCCCGCCTTGTGCAAAAAACACGCTATCAGCAAATTCGATATACCGACGTTGTATCGTTTTTATTATTATTATTTTAAACAAACTTTGTAAACTCTGTTTATCAATTTGTTTTGTTTTCGTGAATTGCTGTTGGTAATTCAAATTTTTAAAAAAACTAAATTTGTCTCCATTACATAAAAATTGTGTTATGTTGTACGGCATTCCATCAACGCGCTTCCATACAATTCGATGTAAAGAACTGAATCGTTCAAACAACCCGTTCTGTCCATCTCTACTACGTACGGTGACGATTTAATGCGCAGGCTCTTGCTACCGTAAATTATTGTTATCAACCAAATTCCCAAAACCGTGCGTTATCACATTTTTACGTCGTTCCGATAACGGCGATGATCATTGGTTTACATTTATCTTACAACTATTTTGTCGTTAAATAATATTCGTCGTTCAGCTTCCGTCCGAATACCAATTTCGAGTCGAATAATATTTTTCGGATTCTGGATCAGTATCATGTTTGTTGCGTATACTGCTCGTTCGAAAACCATGTACGGTGGTCCGATTGAAGCGCAACATTTGGTTCAATAACGATGTTGGTAACATTTTAGCAGTCTCGAGGTAAGAAAATTAATCTGATATCCTGTTGAGAGAAAATAAAGAATGTTTGTTAATGTTTAGGATCACATGAACGATAGGGCATAGTCTACAATAGGTAAATTGACGGTGCCATCGTATCATCTGGCAACAGTTTCATAGAATCATATCAAATGTATTTAATGATCAACAAAAATCCAAAGAATATGTTTTATTACATTAATATAATTTTATACTAATAATAAATTCTTAATTTAGATATTTATTTTTAACATAAAGAATTGTTAACATTACTTAGTTTCATTTTTCACTTTTTGTATAGTTAACTTCCTTCAACATTTTTTAAATAAAAAACCTGTATTCTTTGTAAAAACATTTAATGATTTGTTCCCTATTTTAGTATTATATTATTTCGACTAAATTATGAATGAATACGGAATAAGCATGATTTATATGTATATCAGTACAAAACTGAATTTATTTTATAAATTTGTTCTTAAATTAACTTTAATGTTATGGATATTATATTTTTTACTACTGTCTACTATTTATTTTCTTGCTTAACTTTTCAATACATTAGTTTTAAAAGATCTGATCCTATATTTTTACATAACTATATTATTATTTCCTTTATGTTTATATATATATATAAAATATTGAAATATAAAGGATAAAAATTCTTGCCCAGGGTATTAATGTTTATGTGCATATACCTATTTACTAACTGTTTTGATTTAAAAAATCATTAGGCATAGAATACATGGTACCTATATAAAAATTAAATTAAACAATTATTCATAAAGAATAATTTTTGTATTCACTTATTTTTTTTTTTTATAATTCATGATGAATTTTTGAATAAAATTCAGTTGTAAATATTTGCACATTAATACTCCATGTAAGAACTTTTATTTTTATATTTTATATTTTATTCATATTGATATTATTAGAAATTTGTAATAATGTATAATAAAACATTTATATAATTAAATAAATAGTACTTTAATATTAAGAAAACAATTATTATTGACTAAAATTTTATATTTTTTAGGAATGATCCATCGTTCTTTGTCAATTGATTTGAAAAAATAATACATTCCATCTGTTCTAACTAAAAATATGACACATGGGCTTTTGAATAATTACTGATGGTGGTTGGCTTAACTTTTGCTTTATACAATTAGTTTACATGTTGTTTAAAATTATGGAGTAAGTTTTAAAGAAGAAAAAATATGAACTATGTAAATTTTAATACTTATTATTTTATATAACTATTTTAATTATATTTGTAGCAAAAAAATTCTGTGTAATAATTCATTATAGTATTGTTATTAAGTTAAGTTAAATTATAATTTTAAAATGTTAATTTATATTATTGTCTAATTTGTTAGAAATTCCAAAAATGTATGTTTCTCATAAATATTTTTAACTCATTAATAAAAGTAAATACATTTTCTTAAAAATCTTCTTTATAAGTAATAAATTAATGAACCTTACTATAGTTTAAATGTTATATTAATGTGCATAATCAACAATGTATTAACTTATGAAATTTAACAATATGTTAATATTTTTATATTTATGTTTAATTTTGAAACTGGAAAGTGTTTTGCTTTAAATTTCTAAGAGAAATCGGAGTTATCAATAGTAAACAGCTGACATCTAGATATAGAAACTTTAATAAAATTACTAATATTTAATTGAAAAACCTATTTAAAGATAGACTCCATGCGGCTGAAAAATTCACTGAAGAATATTTAATTGGCAAAAATTCTGCAAAATGACTGCTGTAGCTTCATTATTTATGTGCTTGCAAATAAGAAAGACTAGCAAACTTAGTAGAGGCCGTCGATTCACTATCTATGAAGAAATGTTAAGTTTATCTATGTATAAAAGATCACCAAAATGCTACAGAATGCTATCTAAACTTTTTACTTTGCCAAGTAAACGGACATTGAATACAATATTGTCTAAAGTTGTAATTTCTACTGGTATTTGCCCATCAATAATGAGTGTGCTCAAAGAAAATGTTAAAAATTTGAAGTCGTCTGAAAAGTGAGATATTTTATGATTTTATTGTAGAGTACATTTTATTTTTTATATCATTTTCATAGATTTTGCTCAATATTGTTTGATGAAGTATGCTTGTCAAGTGGATTATCGTATGATTCAGTTATAGACCAAATTGATGGTTTTATTGATACTTGTTCTAATAAAAGTCAGAATATTGCTGACCATGCACTGTTTTTTATGGTCCATGGAAAAAAAAAATTTAAACAACCAGTAGCCTACTATTTTTGCATTTTTGCAAAGTAGCAACCACACAACATGAATTGATTTGACAATTAAAACAAGTAAATAAATTTTATATCTTTACTCTTTAAATAAGTACTTTTAAATTAATTTGTAAATTTCATACATTTTATAGGTCACAATTTGTGTTAGCCAATGTGGCTTGAAAATTGTGGCAACTATAAGTGACCAATGGAATGCAAATGTTGGTGCTATTAAAATAGTGAATCAAGAAATGAGGTCATATTGCATTAAAAACAAGTTACCATACGATAACCATTTTTATGAAATTGAATTGGAGAATAATGAAAAATTAAAACTAGTACACATTTATGACGTTCCCCATTTAGTAAAATGCATCAGTAACAATTTAATTAACAGGGATTTAGTTTTCACTATTAATGACAATGTGAAATGTGCAAAATGATCACATTTGAATTATACAATGTCGATAATGCTATTTCTAACTGCAAGATGTTGCCACGTTTTACTGACCAACATATTATCCCAGGCAAAATTTTGAAAATAAAGGTGAAAAATACTACACAAGTTTCTTCAAAAAGTGTCTTCAACAATAAACTTTTTAGTATGTAAGAATGATGTTTAAAATATTAACAATTTTCTTAAAAATATTCAATAAAATTCAATTTTAGCAAAATTTGTGATCAATATTAATTATTAAAAATAATATTTTTTTATTTTTACAGCTCGTAATATAATCAGTTCAGATGCTCTACACACTGCAACTCTTTATTTATTTTTTGATAAGATTTTTGATTCATTAAATGGTAACTTTGATAAGATTGTAGATGGGAACATTTATAGAACATCAGTAAAAAGAAATTCACCCCATCATCAACTATGGGTAAATAGTCTGAGAGTTCTCAGTACAATGAGATTTGAAGGAAAAAATGGAAAAGATGTGTGTGTTCCAACAATACGCAATTGGACTACTACAATAAGAGGTTTGAACTTCTGAATAATTTGATTAATCATTATTCACAATAGTATAAATAAATGTATTATTTCAGCGTTTCAAACATTGTACAAAGTGTTGGGTTCAGTAGGGATCAAATCGTTACAGCCACATAACCTCAACCAAGATTCGCTTGAATGTTTTTTTAGAGCAATTAGGAATGTTGGATCAACAAATTATAATTGCAATACTTTTATTTCCGCCTACAAAACCTTAGTTCTCAATAATTTGGTATCTTCGCATTCACCAGGGTCAAATTGTGAGGAAGATTTTGCAGAAGGAAGTTTGGCTTCTTTCAAAAATTTATTTCTATTTTCAACACCTAGTCCACCCAGTGATAAAATCATAACTGCTGACTTTTCACTAACAATTCACTAACTACCAAATCCTACATCTTATCTTCGGGGACAAACACATTCTTACATCGCTGGTTTTATTATAAAAAGACCATGAAGACCACCAAATCATTGCTTCTCGAGAATATTAAGTACATAAAAAAATCTCTCAAATATCTATCCATTACATTTAAAAGAACTATTGAACATATACTAAATTATATTGGAGAAAATATTTCTAAAATATGTCATCATGAAAATATTTATTTAAATTTCACAAATAAAATCTCCTCACTTTATAACTTTAATGATATACTGTATTGCCAAGAACATGAACAATTTTTCCAAACCAAAATGATTGGGATGGTTGTTAAAATGATGATCAACCATTATTGTACAGATATCAACAGAATACTTCATGGTAAAAAAAAAATCAGATTTAGAAAAAGATGGAGTAAAAAAATTGGCTCACATATGGTACATATCTCATTTGAAACAAAAAAAAAAAGTACAAGAAAAATATATATATAGTTTACCCATGTAAATTTAAAAATTTTCCGTTTGGCATATTAACTGTTATATAACTGTATGCCCTATTTATAATTATTATTTTTGTATATTTATTTGTATGCTGTTATTATACTGTATAACCTATATAACTATTAAAAATGGCTGGAAGAAAACCTGCATTCGATCCGTCCAGGATTATTAACGCTATACTGCATTTCAAAGATCGAGTTATAGATTTAAATGGCAGTAAAAAAAATAACTATAACTACATATTATACATACAATTTATTCGATTACTTGGTTTATAAAAAAATATTTAATATAGTACAATTGTTAAAGTAATTTTCGGTACTTAAAGTACTCGATATTGTCAGAATTAAAACTTCTTATGAATACGAAATGTTTTTGTGAAATTCAAAAAATTTTCCTTTAACTTTTAAAATAAATTGTGAAGAAATTTGTATTCAAATTTATGCCATTCGTAATTAATTTATGTACACATAAGGAAATTTTATTACATTTTCATGATTTTTTTGAATTTAAATTATCATACTGACTTTTTACGAAAACAAATTAAGAACCTGGATCTAATAGTTTATTATAAAATTTAAGTATTCGTATAGATGTTTAAAATAGAAATAGTATGTTTACAGTATGCCTTTGTATAAATACTAATAATAAAATTATGAATATAATGATATGAGATTATAAGCATACAGAATTCTTCTAAAAATATTTTATGTTTTGTTAATATAATACTTTGCTAATCAATAAAAGCCGTAAAGTGATCGTTCAAATTCATATAAATTATGTACTAATTATTCGCAAAATAAATTTTTGTAAAACGTGTATTTTTACTGGTGGGAGGGGTTGGAATAACGGTATTCCTGCTCCTTCCACGAAAAACGAATTTTTCTCGGTGAACAAGCTCCGTACAAATTCTGAAAATGGTCGTACAAATTCATACAAATCACGTACTAATTATAAACATAAAAAATCACACATTTCTGGATGGGGGGGGGTAGGGTAATGGACGTCATTTATCAAATACAGAATAAATATAATAATTGTTTTGGTAATTTAATAATTTAAAATCTTTATTTGTTCTAAACCTAATAATATAGGTATTTTTATTAATATATAAAATAATGAAACTAATAAGTTTCATTATTTTACTAAACTAAATTTTGTTAATCAATGCAATTTTGACTATGTAAAAATAATAGTAATTTCATACTATATTCTTTCATTTTATTTTATTTCAATTTTTTAAATAATACTTAATATTATTCTATATAAATCCAAATAGTTCAGGCATACAAGAACACTCAGCAAATTATTTTGAATAACAGAATTATATACAAAGAAAAGTTTTTGATAGTTAATTATAGAAAAGTTTGCTATTCATTCAATATTACGAGTATATAAAATTCAAATTTTTTGATTATGTTATGGGAAGTTTTTTCTTAAATAATAATATATATATATATATTCTATCTAATAAGTTTTTATTTTATATTTATAGGAATTATATTGAATATAGTAGATGATGTTTGTGCTGAAAATGTTTCTGAGATGGGAAAAAAATTAATCTGATCTGTACAATGATTATTTTGTTTTCAATGTCAACAATTTTAATCTTAGTGTGATAGTTTTTAAAGTTTCAAAAAGTTTTTTAAAAATAATAGAATTTATGAAAACATAAAACATAGAAAAACATAAAATAAAAAAAAATTGTAAAAAAATGTTTTCAAAAACCTTGTTAATGTTGGATTCCAAGTAAAATTTGTCTTATAGAAATGGCTGGTCGTTAATCCTTGTCTTTGCCCAAAAATGATAAATATACATTACCTAGTCATAAATAAAAATAAACTAATTTTGACTACAAATTAATTGTTACTCGTATATATATTTAAAAACAATGATTATTCACATCACATTTTTGAAACAATTTCAAACTAGTGAAATATATATATCTATATTAATATAAGTTTAACATAATGGTAAGATTTATGAATAATAACAATTTTATCAGATACCAAGAATTGTATAGTATAATCTAAGAATAAGTACTGAGTTACATATTTTTTAATAGATCATCAATATTGTAAACAAAATTATCAAAAGTATTCATAATATAATATAAAAAACTTTAACACAAAATAAAAACCTATAAGTTAAATAATATACATTTCAATAATATGAAAAAGGTATTAAAATTATTAACAATCATTAAGTTAATAAATTAAAACTTCAATATTTTCCAAAGAATAAATTTAAATTATTCAAACATAATTATATTCCTAAAATTTAATTTCATTGTGAACCATTTTGTCATTTTCCTGTAGTTTTTATACAAATAAAAATAAAATTTGTTCATTATCTACACTATTTCAAAAAATATTGCAATGAGTACATAAATATATTGAGATTGATTAAATTTCTGAAAATGTTATAATAGAAATAGTAAATAAAATAACATTATTGTAAAACTTAACATTCCTAACTTTATTTAGAATCTAAAATTATAATAAAAAATGTAAATAAAAATTATAATTTAAACTGTATTTACCAGATGGTATCAATTACAAATGAGTGGTTTTGTTTTCATTTTTTCCATTCTTCACATAATTGAGTTTTTGTAGTATCGGACAAATTCCTGAAAATTATAAAAAATACTCAACATTAATTTTAGATAACACCAGAAATTTTATTAAATATACGATTATTTTTTTATTATAAATTATAAATAAAATATATATTGTACATATATATATCACAAAAATAGGAAAATAAATTATTCTTTATTTATAACATAACCAACAATAATTCAATATCAGGGTAGGACTTTCTACTAATCAGTTGTAATTTTTATAATAATTATATACAAAAATCAACATATTATGTATTAATATAGTTATTTGAATTAATCAATTACATTAACAATTTTATAAAACATTTTATTGAATGTATGCTTTTTAGTACAATTATTTTTAAAAGTAGTTTTAATGAATAGGTATTTAACTATTATCATATGAAAAATTAAAGTGTTCGATGGAATAAACAGACATCTCCATGTCTCAAATTTTACGGAAAAGAATTATTTTGAATTTAAAATTATAAGAACGTGAAATGTTTGTTGAATGTTGGAAATTGTTACTTAATTATTACTTTATTAATACTTACAAATGAATATATAATTAAATCTTAAAAATAAATTCTAAGTTTTATTTTTTTATGTTTTTCTTTATTTTTTACAAGAGCGTTTTGGTCCTGAACCAGCAACAAATTTTAAGTATAATATGTATTATTAGTGATATTTTATCTAATAATATTTCGATTATTGGTATAAATTAGAAAAATGTCATGCAATTACATTTATGAAGTTTTTGAGTAACTCTTAGTAATTGTTCTCACCAAAGCAACTTGCAACTGCAACTAAATTGTGCAACTCGTTGGGTTGAAATCAAATTTAAATTGCGTTGCGGTCAGTGTTCTCATTGAAGCAACTGTTTTTGGTTATGTTGTTCAGTTTCAATCTTGCTCAGTTTATCTCAATAGTCGTTATCTATGACTTACATCAGTAATTTAATGTCTTCATCTGAAGATGACGTTGTTGTTACATATTTATAATTAAAAAAATTAAAAAAACAAAACAAAAAGCGATTTTGGGTTCAACTAATTAGAATCATCATTTTGGTTAGCTATGTCTTCCCAAGCTATTTCTTTTTTATCCGTTCTGGTGTAACTTGAAGATGTTATGTCATATAGACAGGTATGTTGTTCGACTAGTTGAACAAACAAAACATTTTGTTCTTACTTATTAGCCATAATTAAAATTTAAAATATTATTTAATATTATACAATTAATATGATATAGTTATAATGATACGGTAGTAATTAGTATGCAACTGGGAACTAAAACCGTGCATGTCAAGTTGCTTCAAACGGTTTCAAATAAGTTTTGTGCAAGTTGGATTACTTGCAATTGGTGAGAACATGTTCATTAGTTTTAGTTGGTGCGATCGCATTGCAGTTACGTTTCAATTTAGTTGTAGTTGCAAGTTGCTTTGGTGAGAACAATGTCTTAGGGTAGTCCCTGACATGTAATTTTCAGTTGTGCAACTGTTTAATCACATTAGTAACTTCAAAAGCATTAAATGACGATAAGCTCACATGCAACTGATCAGTTTGACCAACTAATTAGTTTGTATATTGTCACAAATCGTTTGATTGTACGATTACATCCTATGTGTGATACATAATGTATCATAATGTGACAGAATAGTTTAGTTCCATATGTGAGCATGGTTATGATCAAACGGTTTTGCAACATTGCACAATACAACTGAAAACTGCATGTTAGCGACTAACCAAATGTTAATAAATCAGAAAACATTTGTTGTATAGTAATTTTAATTAAAAATAAAAATGAAAAATAAATAAAAATTTGAATAATACCACTATAATGTTAAAATTCCTACATTTCACCAATTATCAATACTATTAACAGTATATTTTATTATGCGGGACATGATGGACATCCACCTTGCGACAATATAGTGACAATATAGTGGTATCAAAACATGAATCATGTATGATATCGCTGATAATAATATTTTACAGTATGGCCACAGAATAGGTTAAATCAGAAAGGACACTCTTGAAGTAAACAAAAACGTGGTGGCCATTTTACCGTTGATAAATTATATAAATTTAATATTATCAATGAAAATATTGATTTGATAATACGATTTACTTTTTACCACGATCAAAAATTTTGGTTTTTTTATACACTTTTATATTGTTCTGTGGTCGTACTTCATGTAAAAAATTTCAAATCAGTGAATTAAAAATTAATTTTTTTAAGACTGCTGATTTGTGTTTTTAATATTCTTTCTATTAATTACTATTGCCCTATATTATTTCAAATACCATGACAACCATAAAGAATCATTATTCTTTTAAGTGTGGAGAAATTAAGAATAATGGAGAATAATTAAGTTTTTTTTTCTTTTTTTAATGATCCTGCAAGTTAAGTAGTTAATATCATAATATATAATATATCAAAAGTCAATAGTTCTAGTAAAGTATGCTACCTACACATAAAAGTTGTGATTTTGATTACCTATTGCATCAATAATTAGTTGCTATCAGCTATCCTGCATAATATATTGTTATGTATTGATAACTGTTACTTGTTAGTAGTAGAATTAATAAAATGAAATGATAATGTGGGTATCATTAATTAATTTAGAATGTAAGTATTATTTTGATGTAGGTAGAATACTTAACAAGTACTGGTCCATTAATATCATTCAAAGTTTTTTAATATAAATAAACTTATTATTTTTTATACTTTTAGATGTGAAATTTGGTTGAAAAACTGTCATCTTAGTGCTGTTAATCTTTGCTTGGATAAAATTAAACTTTGCGGAAAACATTTTGAGAAAATCATGTTTCTAAATAATTTCAAAAATAGATTACGTTTACATATTATATCGACATTATTTCCAGGTGTGTATGCAGTAGATCAGTTATCAAATAATTGAAATTGAACATCAATTTTACTTTTTTATTTTTATGTTTATGTATTTAGACAGAAAAGATGATGTGACAACAGGTCTGTAAGTTGATTATGACAAATCAAAAGAAATATCACCATACAACAGTTCTTTCGTTACCAGTTTCTCCTAGTAAATTAATATAATCCATATAGACAATTATTTCTTAAATATTATCTAAAATTTTAGAAGTGCTTTCTGGTGATAAAGAAGATTATTTTTCCGGGTCTTCTTCGTTTTCTAGTGATATCACTGTAGATTTAGCAAGTTCTAGTAAGTTTTAATCCAAAAATTTTACTTTATTATTTCTAAAATTATATTAATATAATTTAGGTTCTTCAAAAATTTGTCAAAGTCTCAAAGCTTGGTTGTCAAAAACACCAAGAATAATTTCACTACGTTCCCAGTTGAAACAAGAAAAAGAAGCTCGTCTCATAATTGAAAAAACTATTCATAGTTTGACTAATCATTTAACTGAATATAGAACTGTTGACAATTTTTTTATCACTGTATGAAAAACATTTTTCACCGAGTGTTCTGACGACTGTGAAATCCCATATGATGTCCAAAGCAAGAAACCCTCATGGATACAGTTTTATTAAAAGTATTTATGTTAGTCAATAGTGTCTTTATTTTACTATAAATACTAAATAATAAATAATAATAATACTAAATAATAATAAATATACTACTGTATATTTATTTGATGCACCACATTTGTTAAAGTCAACGCGTAATGTTTTTTAAACATAATATTGTTATTGATAATGAAAAAACTGACAATAATTATCTTGTACAGTTTTATAATGAGAACAGTAAATTTAATTTTCAATTGGCACCTAAACTTATGCAAGCTCACATAAAGCCTAGACTATTTGAAAAAATGCATGTTTACTTGGCCGCCCAAATTTTTAGTGCATCAGTTTCGGCTGAAATGAATACACATTTAGCATTGGGTAAATTAACATTTAAATCAAAATTTACCATTAGCTTCATAGATAAATTGACAAACTTTTGATATTTTTAGTTCTAGTAAAGTTCCAAATAGTTAATCCTACAAATTGCCTTTTAAAAATAAATCTTCTGAAGTAGAAAATCTTTCTATGATGCTATTATTTTTTCAAAAATTAAAAGTTATTTCTATATTAAACAGTAAAGATGTAACAAACAGGATGAATTTCATAAATGGATGGCTAATATCTATTAGTAGTTTATTGAAGTTATGAAATTCATTAAAAAAATCAAGTGAACATCCAAAATTTATGTTTTATATACAAATTGATGAAATCAAGATTGTTTAGAAAATCTATTTAATATATATAAAAATGGAAATAACCGAAATCTTACTCCTGTTCAATTTTATATTGCTTTTTGAAATATATTTTGTTTAAATTACTTTCAATACTCACCCAATGCTAATTGTATTAAAGATCTAGATGACATTTATGTATTATTAATCCTCAACAAGTTGGAACTTCCAATAATATGTTGCTTGAACTAGCATCAAGAGATACGTATTTAGAATTTAAAATTGGTAGAGTTGACTATAGACGCTTAAATTTACCAGAAAAAATGCCTTAAATTTTTTTTGTGGGTATTTATATAGTAAATGGTAAAGGTAAATAGTAAATGGTATAGGTAAACATGACGTAATATGACAGTAAATATGCATGATAATATCATATGACATAATAATATGACAGTAAACATGCATAATTTGTGTGTGAAATAATGGTAGATCTCAACAAAATTTACAACCATCCCTTTTATTATGTTAATTCAACATATACCCAACTTCTTAACAGACCAATTATGATAATTTACAAATGCCCAATAATATTTAAGTATTTATATATTTGAGCTTGAAAATATTTTTATAGAACATTTCCCTTTTTTAGCAGTTGGTAAAGGAGTGGCTTATAATTTAAATTAATTTTTTGTAATGTTCCTGATAAACACTCATGCCCAGATTTTGATTATGTTCATTTAATTAGGTTATTTGTTAGATTTAGGATATTTTCGTCAGTTAAATTTTTAAATAGGGAATTAATTTCGGAACGACAGTTCAAACAGAGAATGTTGACAATTTTAAAACATTTATAGTTAGTAATTTATTATTATTACCTACGAATTTACTATTAAATTATATTTTGACATAGTAGTAATATTTTATGTCTATTTAACACTACTATTATTATAAAAATTATGACTTAACGAATTATTATTTTTATTTTTTAATTATTATTATTACTGTTTAATTATTTTTTTGTTTTGTTCATTTTGACATATACATTTTTAAATTGCCTAATTTTAATATTTTTATTAAATATGTGTTTATTGAATTAGAAATATGATGTTTTTAATACTATAATTTTCTTAAAATGTTTATGTTGTTTTATTTAACTTAACAATTTTACAGAAATTTGAAAACTTACATAAAGAATTTAGACAAGTTGCAATTATAGATACAATTCAAATTTACTTAGAGTACTACCAAAGGTGGATTGATATGATCCATTTTGGTACTGCCTATGATTTAACATTAAAGTTACTAATCTATAGTATCAACAGTATAATTTACTTTTTTTAACATAGCCATATATTATTTAGTCATGTATATTAAATTATTGTAATACGTTTATTAATTTTTTTTTTTTAGGAAATGTTTGGTCTGCTGCTTCTTCATTTCATGCAAATAGGGTTTCAAGTTTGGCTTCAAACATAAAATAATTTCATCTGCATTATATTTCAACTTTTGCTTATTAAAAAATACTTTTGGCATTATAAAATTTGTATTTTTGTTTTCTTATTTGGATGCTATTTAGAACAGTTTTTGATTATAGTTGGCAATATTTTTCCAACCAAATATTTTGAATAAAAATAAAAAGTTTGAGAAAAAAACTAAGTATTATATTATATTATAACTAAGTATAAAATAAGTATTTAATAGAAAAAAAAGTATTTAGAATACTATTGAAAGTTCTTAAAAAAATATTCAATACTTAAAAAAATATTTGAATACTTTTATTCAAATACTTTACAGTACTGTACTTATATTGATTTTGTTAAAAAAAATTAAAGTGAAAATTGCTCGTCAATTTTCTCAGTACAATTTTGACAATTGCTGGATAGTCTTATTTGTATTATTATAACCAGAAATATTATTATATAATAAAAATATGTAATAATATTACTTTTAACCAGTAATCTATAGACTAGAAGTGACCAACCATTTTTTATATTGTACCAATAAATAAATAAAATATTGAGAATGTACCATTAAAAATTAATACTGGTTATACAAATTGTTACAGGTTGTAAAAATTAGAAATAAATAAAAAACAAAAAAATAAAAATATGATATTTTATCTATTATTATTCTAGTGTGCCTTTCAATAATGTCAAATGTACCGTAAAAGGCATGCCGTAGATTAGCCATCCCTGATATAGGCGTTCGTCATGATGATCTATGACCCACTTCTACGTAGTTCAATGGGTTAGAACCATATACATATTAAGATATCTTAATATGTCTATGGTTAGAACCACTGGACTATTCCATTTTCTTTTTTTTTGGATAAATATTGTATTTTTTCTTTTTCTGGCATGGTCATTGATTTACCAACGGGAAGATGGTCGACACGATTTCGTGTTTATGTATTTCTATGTTAATTTTTATCAGTGTCCAGGCCCTGGAATGTCCTCGAATTGTCGGTTAAAATCAATAAAAAGTACACTCTTTTTCTGTATCACTGAACCTGACCTTAGACATAGCAATATAATAATTTTTTATAAGCAAAATTATTTTAAATTACACTTACACTACAGTTTTTTCATAGTGTCGTAATCATTCATCATTCTTAAATTGTTATCGCTTTACTTTCATGATTTTTATTACTTTTTGTAATGATATAAATCAATAACCTAATATACCTACATATTCTTATTTTACATTCAATTAAAAAATAATTAATACACATTTCTCATTTAAATAAAAATAATAGTCTTAAATGCATCATAAATTGCCTAACAGTTCCAAATCTTGCATTACAAATTAGTTTCTATGAATTTCTTATATTAATTTACTAATTAAATTATTTTTAAATTTAATTGAAATTCACTTTGCTTTTTATTTTAATATTTTTACTAACACAATTATAAATATAATTACAATAATAGAAATTAGATAATTTAATTATTTCACAATTCTTACATTTTTATTGCTAATACTTAAATTAATTAAATAACTTCTTAATAAATAATTTCGATTGCAATACTTACACAGTAATTTTTATTATGATTCAAATAAATATTTTGATATAACTACTTTTTTATAAAATACTTAACAGTTCCAAACAGTGCATAAAAAATTAATTTCTATGAATTTCTTATATTAATTTATCAAGTAAATACTTTAAATTGCATTATTTTTAATTTCATTTTAATTTTACTTTTTTTTTATTTCATAAATTAAATTATTTGTAAACTATTTTATAATACTTCAATTTACTGAAATTTCACTTTTTTTTAATTTAACTATTGAATAAATAATATTATTAATATCAAGTTAATAATTTAAAACATATTATTTTTAATGTTTTTTCAATTCTTAAATTTGCATCGGTATAACTTTAATGAATTTAATAACTTTTTTATGAATTATTTGGGTTTGACATTCTTTTTTGTTATGAATCAATTAATTATTTCTTTCAATTTACCTACTTATTTTGTTTATACATTAAATTCAATAGAAATTAATTTACATTCCACATTTAAATACAAAGATACATACTTTAATGCTTTATTGATTGTCTAACCCTTCAAAATATTGCTTGCAAATAAGTTTCAATGAAATTCATGCAGGTAATATATTTAGAAATAGATAATTATTTACAAGTTTTTAAAAAAAAAAAATTGTATGAAAAACACATTTTTTAAGCAAATACTTAGCAACTATAAAAATTATTTTATACATTGAATGTTATAATTAATTTATAACAGTTTTTAAGTTTGTTTTAAGTTCCAGCGTTCATATAAATTTGTATATTCTGACACTGTAGAATAAAAAAGAAATAAATTTGACTCTAAAACGACAAAAATACTAATGATATAAAGATAATCAAGTAACTTGAAATAATTTGATGTATTTAATATATTTAGACTCTAAAGTTATGATTATTTGAGATTACATTTTGTGTGTATTGTCGCAAAATGGGTGTAGACAAAAATTCTGCTACTCCTAATTGCTAGATACAATATAAAAAAAAATTCAACAACAATAGCACTAGCAGTAAAAATATGTCAATAACTATTAATTCTGAAGATGAAGTTAATGATGATATAAATAATTAAGAATTAAAGTAAAATGTTGAGTTATTTTTTAATTTTTGACTACATATTTCCAATCTAAGTAAATTACTTTAGCTATTTACTAATTGTCATTCAATAACATTCTCTGCTATAATTAAGGTGTCACTAACTGAAGAAAAAAAATAAAAAATTGACACACACCTAATAATATAAGTTATTATAATAACAATTTGTTAGCTAAATGTTCAAAACAAATAAAAGTATTAATATATTATGTAACGAGTTGCAACTAGCAGAGTATTCATGTGTAAAACAATAGTGTTTTAAAAAGTTCAACCTACAGAAGGAAAATAAATGTCACATATGTTGTGTAAAAAATATATATACATGCATATTATGTATATATTTGAATGCCTATGTTTAGAAAAATTATTGATTTTATCTGTTATTAACTTGAATTCATGTATAATGTAAATTTTTAAAGGGATTACAATTAAACTTTGTATTCATTTTCTAATACAAGATCTGCAATAAATTATTAACAAATTACAACTTACATTTTAAATAAAAACCCAGATAATGTTAGCTATATTTTTAATTTATAATATGAAAATGTATTTTTATGTTTTATTTTTATTAATGAATAACAAATTAAGGAAAATGAATATACTTTTATCTGGTGTACTAAAATTCTCAAAGGTTGAAGATTCTAATCTTAAAAAGTACATGACAAGTTGACATTAATTATTCCAACAATTTTAAATCATTAACTTAATTATTTCATGCGTTATTTTTTATTCTTAGGATTTATGTTAACATACTAACACACTACAAAATATTCAGAAAAATACTTATGTGTTTATCAAGTACATTGTATCTATACTCAACACTTTCAATCCAATAAAAACTACTTCAGAATGCGCTTATTTTTTTTAAATTAGTTGCTACAGGTATTTATTAAATTCTTACATATATATATATATATATAAATAATACATACCTTCAATACTAATTTGAAGTTTTTTTAGTAGTAAGATGAATAATTAGTGAACTGAATTTCAGCACAAATAAAAGAAATAAACACCACTTAAATTATTCATAAAATATCTTTTTTTTTTTATTTTCTTGAATAAAATAGTATCTAAAAATCTTATAATGGCAGTAAATTTGGACTTGATTAAAATCAGTTGTATGTACATTAATTACACACTTGCAGCATTATCAACATCAAGTGGCATTATACAGTTAAAAATCAATATAGAATGTTGAATAATTCATTTTGAGCGTACAAAATAATTTGACAAGATATGTACAACATTAAAATTACTATATATTATGTAATACAAAAAAGGCACTTATGGGAATTTCATTGTTAACAAACATATTTAAATAATATAGATAATAATATAAATGTATATGAACTTAATAACTAAAAAAAAAAAAATCACTATTAAATGTAAGTCTAAAATAGTTATTACAGCTAATTTGCATCACATATATGTTTCATAATTGTCATTATAAAAGTGAATTAAAAATGACATTCACAAGGTCTAACATTTTACTTATATTTTCACATTTTATACGTAAGAATAGGAAAATTTTGTACAATCTTTGTATGAAATTTCGTTGATTGTATAAATCATAAAAATATAATTCATTTTCTGATGAAGAAATTAAGGGAAAATAAAAAATAAAAAATTAAAGTTATTGAATATTATTAAAATAAATAAATAAAAACTTGTGAACACATAGATTTCTCAAAATGGAAGACTTAGAAAACACTATAATATTAGATTATTAAAAATACTAGAACAGTATAAACTGCATGAAACATTATATAGCAACATAAAACTGTATCTGTAGATAGATAATGTTAATCTTAAAATAATATAAAGTGTTTCGATAAATACATGCAATAATGAGTAAACCATTAAGGGAATTAACATACCTACCTACAATTTAAGTAATTAGTTATAAATAATAATCATGAAGTTTATACTGTTTATATTTTAATTTAGATCAGCTATTAATATTAGAAATGATTGAAATATGAAAATAAAGGTATTACTTTTTCATTATGATTTTTTAGCATTATTTTTTAAAAGAATAAATATTTAAATAAATTTAAATGTTACAATTATCTTAAAATATGTATAAAGGTAAATGATCAAAAGTTTTATTACCTAATTCAGATTTGAAACACAACAGCAATATTCATTATACTATACTTATAATGAAATGTGACCAACAATATATTTAAAAAATGGTCAATAGTTTAATAAAAGGTAAATCATGAACACAATACCTAAAGGTAAATTTACCCCTGTGTTCTCCAATAATGGCAATCAGAAATTAATTTAAAAAAATACAGTATGTAATTTATGCCATGCAGAGACATGGGGTGGTGAAAAATGTTATCGAAAAAAAATAAATAAATTGTCTAAATTATTGCTTATCTATTCTATGAACCATGTTTCCCTAAGATAAAAACTTTTCTGTTTAATTTAATAATTAAATACATGATTGTCATTTATACACTTTCCTTACCATCCAATTTTTTGGCTAAGTCTGATATAAGCTCTTTGAAAATCAAGGGGTCAATGTTCTTACGCAACTGGTACAAAACAAACCAATCACCGATCTGGAATTTCTTAGAAATAATTTCTACTTCGTCTTGTGGAACTAAACGTGATCTTACTTTCAACAACAGTAAACGGAATTTAGGTATGACCATAATAGCAGTACGGTACACCAGATTAAGAACACTCAGCACGGCAACAAACAAAAACCAGAACCACAAGAAAACGTAGATTTTTTCATTGACAATGTTGAGTGGCAAAACACAAAGACCGTCTAATTTCTGGATTGAACCGGATGGACCATATTTATGGAATGTACACTTAGTGACTTTGGGAAACACCCGAGCCATAGGATCGTCTCTGTCTTCAAATTCCATTTCAGTGAACTTAAGAATGTCTGAACCGTAAGTACTGAACTCACCGTCGAGGAAGTAATCCATGAAAAATATCTGAGCTATGACGTTAACAAGGTTGAGAAGCTCGCACAGGAAGAATTGAATGGCGTAGAAGTTTTGCGTATGCAGGTTGGTGGCAAAGTAGTCGATGAGTATCTTCTTATGGTCGGTCTTGCACTCCTCACTGATGATCGGACAGTCGAGATCGAGTACGAGCATTTTGATGCGGCCGCCCTCCCACGTCTTCCATATATACCTGGGCAGGTAGAAAAACATGGCCTGGAAGAAAAGCACGAAGCATACCCACTGGTAGTACTTGTGGTACTTGACTTCGTCTTTGCCGTCGACGTGAGACCGGATACCAGGCTGGACCACGTCCTTGCCGACGCGGCCGTTGACGTGGTTGGGCAGCGTGAACGTCGAGTAAATCCAGCAGTACGTGTCCATGATGTTGAGCGGCACACCGTCGACGATGCAATCAATCGGGTCACCAATATATTGACGGGACGTGACTATCAGCGAGAAGGCGACCAGGATGATGACGGTAGCCTTGTAGTGCAGCCGGAAAATATTGTTGTCAATGCATACGCTGTCGATTTTCAGCAGTCCTTTGACGGAGCCAAAAACGTCAAACATGGCGGCGGTCGGAGTAGAGACGGGTTAAACACGCAGACCACGCACAAACAGACACGAGGATAAGGATCGGTTGTAGCGGACGACCGAACCGACGAACAGAAGAATTCAGGGCTTATTGATTATAATTAAGTATTTTCGTTATCCGTCTTCCGGAAAAAGTATGTATGTGTATATTATCACGTGCAGCGGACAGAAATGCTCGCACGACGGTTCGGGTGTGACCCGTTAATTTTTGCAAAGCGAAGAGTACGACGGCGTTGACTGTCGCGCCGTATCGTTTAACTAGAACATACGCACGGTGGCGGAGATATGGTTGGGAGGTGAGAATAGAAATACAAACCGAGAACAGGAGGCGCTAACGGTAACAGATCGGTCGTTTCTCGTAAAATGATGGCCGCGTCGGCTGTGTTAGGGCGGTGGAGCATTTGCAACCGGTTCGTGCGGGTGCGCGTGACAGCCCGACTGCAGTGGGAGTAAACGGTTGCGCTCCCCGGGTCAATGGTGTCGAGCGACGCATACGCTAACACCTTGTCACCGCTGTTGCCCGTTTCCACCACTGCTTGTTGCTACCCGTACGCGTTACACACGCCACCATTCCACTCCTCACCACAAACTCATTGATAACGATGACGGCCGGCGGCGACATTACCCACCGAAGGGAAGAAACTGGTTTTTGTACTGCATACTTTTTTTTCTATACCCACTTGTACCTTCTTTCTCTCCGACTTAACATTCCACGCTCGGTGTGTTGACTCCGCGCCACCAACAGACTTATTATTATTATTATTATTTATATTATTATTAATACCTGCTCGTCTGTTGCTGGGCAGTCAAGGGTTCTCAATCTACTGCGTTATCGTCTCTCAAATGTCCGGTCGCCAATTTTCCGGCAAATTTCTACTTTCCGGGTTACTACTAACGCGTATGGCCCTCGAGAAGGGGGAGCATTGGGTCTATTTTGCCCCAGACCCCAAACATTTGATGACCGCAAAATCCATTGTTTTTTTTTTTTTGTTAACCATGGTAGAGTAAACTGAGTTTCAAGTAATACATTGTTATTAATATTTAACAAATACTTAAATGAGTTGTACAAATTAGTCACTAATATAATTATTTTTCTTATTTACGTAATTGCCTTTGCACAAAAAGTATTTATAAATTATAATTAATGATATTCCCTAGAAATGCGGCGCGAAATTACTAAAATAGATATTTTAATAAGAATAATAATTGTTGATTATCAGTTTGATAGTGCGGTGCGGCATCGTCGTGAACCGGAAACGTTAACAACGGATTTAAAAAATAACATCAAAAATGGTATTTCTCCTATAAAAATATAAAATAACTATAACATAACAATATAAAATTTTGAGTATTGACTGTTGTTGTTTCACTTTTCGACTGAAGACTAAGCGAAAAGAACTGTTTAATTCATAACTATGCTTAATATAATTTGTAATAATTTGTACTAAACACTGTTCATACCTATCTAAAGTATTTATACAGTTGTACATTCTGTGGTTGTACTTATTTAAAAAACTAAAACAAGAGTTTATGCAATGAAAAAAACGATATTAAATTATACATTTATAAAAATTAAAATTATTGAAGCCATTCATTTTTCCATTAAATTACGCATAATCTCTGAATTTTGATTATGTGTATTCTAAATGCGCAATTTAAAGAATATGTGTGAATTTCTAATATTTTATTCAAACTTTTATTATATTGGAGGGAGTTAAACCCCATAACCATCACTGATCTGCCACTGTACAGGCCCCATGTTTTAAGTTGCTCCAGGCTTCACTATACTTTACGACGGCCCTGCTAACACGTATGGTGCGGGAAACTCATTGGGTTTTTCAGTCCGGTTATTATTAATTATAATCTACTCTGCGAACAATAAGCAAGCGATAATTAACAAGTTATAATCTGCAGCCGGGTAAACAAACGACAACAGAATCCATGAGGGAAAAGCACAGGGATTAGCTTTCTGCATTATAAAGCGAATTTCGTGATATACAAGTACTAGAGACCAGGGGCGGATTTAGAGGGTTACTTAGGTTTCTGGAGCACCCACCGTTCCTCGTATTATTAATTATTGAAAATTTAGAGGACTGGTCAATTTTGATTATAGATTTGAACAAATTTTAAAATTCATACATTATATTATGTACCTACAACCTACATATTTAAAAAAATAATAAAATGATTATATAATGTTTTGATGCCATTATGTATCTTAATTAATAATTATATTTTAAACTATTTATGTATAATCTAGGACGTTTCCCCCCTGAATGGGACATTTTCCTCCCGGACAAAAAAAAATAAATATTAAACAATAATAATGTATAATACAAATAAATCCATCGTATCACAAGTATCAAAATTACAAAATAATACTGAAAAAGAAATTCAAACATGTTTTGACAGTGTTTTTGAGGAATCAGACATTGAATTAAGTAATACCAGACTACTAAAATAGATTTATTGTTCCTATTAATTAGTTAACTATTTTTATTTTGTTATTTATAGTAACTGAAGATGATGCCATTACCCTTATGGCTAGTTTAAAGCATGAGGAACTATCATGGCCTGAAATTGAAAATATTTGGAAAAAAACTACGGGTTACTGATTACAACAAATTAAAATAAATCATTCATCAGCTGAAATTCAAAATACATGGCCTCAATACACTCAGCCACTGGGTATAAACTTGTAAGTAAAAACGGTTATTATAATTATTTACTAATATAGGTACCAAATAATTTATTATAACTTAATAACCATAAAAATACATTTTTGTGGAATTATGTTTTATTTTATTTATAACAAAGTCTACAATAAGACATATAACATAATCAAAATTAACAAAGCCTATAGTATTAAATAAAATGTTAACAATTCACAACTAGTTTCTAGATTTCATTAGGTACCTATGTAAAGTAAAAACTAAAAGCAATTGAACAATTGAAATACATTTTAAATAAATAATAAATTACGTTTTTATTTCTTTAAATTGTTTGTTA